GACATGGTTTGTGTTACTCACAACAAGGGTGCACCTTTTCAGCTTTTTCAGCCTGACACCCCTTGTAATGTTCAGGTCCTTTTTGGTAGGGCTGATCTTCCCATCTGTGCTGATTATTGGATTATTCCAGCCCAGGTGCAGGACTGCACGCTTCTGGTTGAACCTTGTGAGGTTTCTCTTGGCCCACCCAAGTTTCACAAGGTCCATCTGGGCTGAGGTTCTGCCATTTGCCTTTTCACCCACCTCCTCTAATTTGGTGTCATCTGCAGACTTGTTGAGGGTGCAGCTGTGCTTGTACCGAGGTGCAGTCACCATCATCAGAGCGATCCCTGGAGGCTGGCAGTGCTACAGCAGCTCCGGTGGGTGACTGCTGGAGGAAGGCTCCTGTTATAAAACACGTTCCCTCTTGTACTTTGCACAGCAAATTAACTGTGGGTTGTTGGTAAAAAAAAATGAGAGGGGGGCCAGAATGGAAACATCTGAAATTTGCTTCCTTCTGAAGAGTGTGACTGGAACACAGTTAATTATTATCTATTTGGTGGTAAGCAAGTACGTGTTTGCTGGTAGCAATTAAACTATTGTTTTAAAGATTAATGAGTGGGAGAGACATTGGTTTTGCATTAACACACAAGCGCCTTTTAGAGCAAAGGCCTTGGGCCAGCACGTGGTGTGCGGCTGCCTTGTTCTGAGCAGCAGCTGCATGTACCCTTCATGCTCCAGCTTACAGTGATTTTATAAACAGAGATTGTTCATGTCTTCTACTGGCAATAATGAAGAGAGGCTGAAATAAAGTGGCTGTTGAGACCTTGGCAGCAAGAGGTTCACCTGGATAAATGAGAAGCCAATTTTGTAAATACTTGAAAATGACTGGTCTTTGCTGACTGCCATTTCTAATGGGAAATTTGCTGGTTGTGTTAGTGATGCCCTTTTCATGAGTTTATCAGCACTTGTGGTCCTCTGGTGAGGGAGCCTGGCCAAGGAGAAAAATTCTGTAGCAGGCTTGGCCCCACAAAATGTACTCTTTGCATCTATTTCTGGCAACCTGCTTTGGCCACTGGACATGTGCTTATGGGTCAGAGGCTGGGCAGTGTCTAACAGGGCATATTAGATGTCAGCTCACCTTGGAGGAATGCTATAGCTGTGTTTCACCGTGCTTTGGTGCCAGTGATATTGTCCAGTCCTGTGTAACTAGATAGGCAAAAACAAAAATTGGAGATTATCTGGACGCCTTCCTGTGCAACCTCATCTAGGTGTTCCTGCTCCGGCAGGGGGATTGGACTAGATGATCTTTTGAGGTCCCTTCCAATCCCTAACGTTCTGTGATTCTGTGATTATATGAAATGAGGAAGAGCAGAATATGTCTTAGTTGATGTTAATGCAGCAGATTCAAGCTCTGCGTGTGATAGGGTGGGGAAAATCCTCTGTTAGGTCAGTTGGGCAAGGGCTCTGGCTACAAGAGGGGACAGGGGCAGTAAAACCTCTGTGGACTAAACAAAAAATTATATTTCATAATTAAGGAGTACAGGGTTTTCTGCTTTGAAAGTGGACAAGCAGATGTGTCTCTGCTGGCCTGAAAATTTGTCTGTGTGCTGCTGCCAATTCCAGAAGAATGACTGCATTTTAAGAAGCGCCTGGTTTTGTTTTCTTCTGTTAGCTTGCCATGGCCTAGCTTTTTTGTTCTCATCACCGTCTTTAGCTAAAAAACATCATCCAGCTATTGTGTGTGGTTCCCTTCCGTGCAAGGCCCTGTGTAGACCAAGCAGAGGATTGCCCGTGAGGGTGCAGCTTTTATAACCCCCAAAAGGATTTGTCAGGACTGAGCTCCTTTATTAATACATTAATAGCTTGCAGTTATGAACCCTGTCAGTACCCTTTTAATTGTACATAATTGTTTATTTTAAAAGTTGACATTATATTGCAGTGCTCTCTTTGGGAGAGCACTCTGGGAGTGCTGCTACTGTGTGCCACCTCCGAGTTTTTGGGAGCTGGCTGGGAAGTTCAGGGAGATCAACGACAGATGAGCTGTTAAGAGATCGCCTGCATGGAAGAGCACAGGGTGGATAGTGGCAAAGAGTAAGTGCCTACTGACTTTTTTGGGAAGAGATGCTCACTTTGATATCAGGTAGACTCCATCAAGCACCAGTGATATGGGTGACAGGCAGAAGGCTGGCATCCCACTCACCTCCAACCTCCCTCAGAGGTTTTTTTCCTCATCCCTAGTACATTTTCCCTCATGGTGCCCCAGGGCTTAAACCTCTCTCAACTTGAACGCCAGTTTGTGCTTGAAAGTGAAATAACCTAGTTTTCAGCCATTCATTTGAATTCTGGCCTTCTGAGAGAAAGTGTCACTGTCTAAAATGAGGAAGTTCATACGCTATGTCAGGAGATTGGATGGAGACGTGAGCTCCTGTTGCTCTCTGTGGGTTTAGGAGCACATGAAGAACATGGTTTACTCTCTCTTCCATCAAACTGAGTGACCTGCAGGCTTGAGACTGTGAGAATGAGAGCAATCTGTTGGTGATGGTGCAGAACAACTTGGAGGTCCTGGAGGGAGTTTTAAATGAAGGCTAATTATTGTAATTGTAATGACTAAAAAGTGTTTGTGTATCCTTTTTCACCCTGGCAAAAACCACAAACCTGTTGATGTTACTTTAATGACTAATGTACCCTCCTTTACCCTAGCATTTGGCTTTTTTCTTTCCCAGGCTTTTTGTAAGTTTCTTAAAATAAAAAAACTGTAGACTGGTGCAAGTAGAAAGGTAGCTGAATTGTAAATTTAGCTTCTAATTTTCTTCTTATAAAGAACATTTTCCTGCTGTGCAGACAACTGTGCTATAGAGGCTTCATCAGAAGAGCTGCTAGTACTGCTGGCTACCAGTAAATGTTGTTTTCCATGGAGATTTGGTAATTCAGCTCCTAATGTTCTGCAGGCTTAGATGCATTGAGCGCTGGCCTGGGTATCTGTGCCAACAGAAACTTTCAAGTGCTGATGGAGTTATGGTGAGAAAACTGCACATCTCCCATGCTTGCATTGCCCCTGGGCTCAGGTTTTACCAGAGTTTCCAAAGCAGTTACTTGCTGGTGTGGTTCTGCCTATGCTGGGAATGGGTCACCAGTCTGTTTTCCTGCATTTTTAAGTTGTTTCTGGCATGGGCAGGCCCTCTCCTGCAGTGGGGCAGCCGTGGAGCTGAAGCCTTCCCTGGGGCTGGGCTTTGGTGACCTCATTGCCTGGAAGTTATTGGGATCTGGGTCCCCCTTTTAGGGTCTTCCATGAAAATCGGACCTCCTCTTCCTTTCAGCATCCTCACCACTGTTCTGCAGTACTTGGTGGGTACCGTGGGTTAGGTTAGCTAGTGGCTAAATTAAAATATTGTTTAGGTTTATTCTGAATGTATAAAATATGTTATTACATTTGAGACAGGCAGCTGTTGACTGGGATGGTGACGAGATGTAAGTGTGTTTTTTCTTAGACTTTCTAAGAGACCGTATTAATGCTGAATTTACACCAGGATGCTGCTCATCCACAGAGCCCAGTGCTCTGTGCTCCTTTGGGATGTGCAGTCCTGCATGGCAATTAACACTTTAATGCCTTGGCTCTTCACAAAGACTTTGGGCAGGGTGGTGTGGTGTAAGCTGCCTGAAAGCAGCAAAGGGCATGGTTAAATGAATTTCTCTTCTGTGGAAAACCAGCAGCCACTTCAGAAGGAAGTGCATCAAGGACCTTGGTCGGAAGGAAATCACTGCGCTGATTGTGATGACTTTGATTTCCCTCCCCAGCTTGTAGATGAAGGACCTCTGACACATAACTCCTATTTTTCCATGGTCACTTTGGGGTGAAGTACCTCTCTGTGTGATGGGGGAAGGAAGCAAGAAGAGCTTGCTGCTATTTCTGGGCACTGTAAGGGAAACTTAGTGTGCTTGATTTCCTTTTGAGACTTGTGTTTAAATTATGAGTCTGTCTGCCCTGCCACTGGGCAGGGAGGGAAGGGTTTTTTCCATTACCTTTACAAATAACTGGGGTGTCTCAAGTGTGAAGGTATTTGATGCAGCTGGTGTTGAGAAGGTGTAGCCAGCAGTTTGCTGGAGAAATGCACCGTTAGTCTGCTTATTTCCTCTTTGTGTCAGGGATTTTTAGCCACTTCCCAAATGCCCACCATTTCTTCGCATTAAAACCCCTTCCTTTACTCATAAGACTTCATCTTTCTCAATTTTGTATTCTGTATGCTGTACTCCTTTCCCCCGTTTCAGCCTCAGACTCCTTCTCTGTATATCATGACATGTAAAGTTTTAGTCATTATTTTTTTTCTGTCAGTCATGTCTGGTCAAAGACATTTCCTGTAGTTATAAACTGGGTAATTCCAGTTTATTTTAAAAAAATCATTGAAGTGTAAACAAAAACTGTCTTCATGGAGCTGGATGTGCAATTAATTGAATGTGAAGCTTACAGTTGAAGGGTGGTGTTTCAGTGCAAAGCAGGTCAAAAAATGCTACTTTTAAATAGAAAGAGCCGCCTTCTCAGAAAACCTGTTTATGCTGTATAGTAATGTAGTACTTCCAAAACATTTCCCTAGAGTGATTAATGGTGCATCAGATAAAAATCCACCCTGACTTAAACCCAGGGAGTGCCATTCTCAGTGTGTTCTTGACATGCTGTAACTTCGCTGTTGCGTTTTCTTTTGTTTTGTTTCTCAGTGATTAAACCAGCATCATGAGGTATTTATGGCTCAGACAGGTGCTTATTTGTAGGCCATCAGCTGTCCTGTTTTTGACTACGAACGCCATAAGACAGTTCTTCCACATTACCTGTTTGTGTGGGAACTGCTGTCTTAGCAGTGCTTAATCCAGTGAGGATAGACGTGTCACTTCCAAGTAAAAGGTTGGGAAACAGTAACGCTGGTGTGGGTGTTTTTAAAGTGCCAGGATTAGTGTGGTAGATCTTCTAAATGTGACTCTGAGGGTTCCTTTGTCTCTGATGCCAACTTTTTTTTTTTTTTTTTCAGGCACAGCTGGAAGCTCAGAGGGCGACTCAGGATTTTCAGAGGGCTACTGAGGTGCTGCGCGCTGCAAAAGAGACCATTTCGCTTGCTGAGCAGAGGCTGCTGGAGGATGACAAACGCCAGTTTGACTCTGCTTGGCAAGAGATGCTCAACCATGCTACTCAGAGGGTAAGACAAACTTCCCCATCATCTGTCTTTTCCATATTTTGTGTTCTGTGGTGTACGAGGCTTAGTTTCTGTAAGACCAAATTATTCTATTGGTCCAGATACATGACACGTAGGAAATGAAGCTACAGAAAATTAGGAAGCCTAAGGTTAAATGATTTGGGCCTTGCACTGCTACTGCGACAATTCAAGTTCTCTATGTGGCTGTGCTAGTAACTGGTAGAGTAGCTCTCTAAAGAAAAAAATAATCTATATGATAGGGATAAACAATGTCTTAGGGCATATTTGCATTTGGAGTTATGCCTGTATAATTGCATAGGGATGGCTATTCCTCAATAGTCGTGTTACAGAAACTCTTATTGTGGAAAAACAGAGACATGTCCTAATTTTAGTGTAACCTGTTCTTAGCAAGTTGAATGAGGCACTTTGCTTCAGAAATGTGTGTTTGAATGTAGAATTACTAAAAATGTGTTGCATTTTAAGCTTGCACGGTGCTCTATCCTGAATTTACTTCAAATTCAGACAAGGTCTCACCTCCTTTGTAAAGCCTTTTTAAAATCTGCAGAAGAGATGTACTGTCTGACAGTGAAAGGTGGTATTCATTTTAGCAGCTGTCAAGAATTTTCCTGTCACTTGCTGTGTCTCTTTTTTTTCCTGTTAAAAAAACCTTGATGCTTTTTTTTTTAACATGAAGGAATCAAAAATCAAAGTTAAAAACCTTTGTTCTGTCAGAGCTCCCTTAATATCTCAGTGAAGCTGAACTTGCTATTGCAAATATTCTAGCATGCCATACAATGCTGGTATTGTCTTGCAGTCCTCAATGCAGTAGCTCTGTCCTTTTGCAGAAGCTTCTCAGTTATAAGAAAGCCTCTATTTAAGAGTGAATTGTGAAAACCAGCTGCCTGATGAAGAAACAGGGAACAAAAAAGGATGTTGGCTGTATGTAGGGGAGAGATGGAAAACATGGTATATATTAAAAAAGGAGAAAAAACCCTTCAAGGTATTGTTTATGGTGTTGTCCCTGTTACCAAGATGAATTTGCAGATGTGGTAACCTCTGTGTGTTTCTGAAGGCGGCCTCACCTTTGCAGTGTGTATGTGCCAGGACACCAGCAGCTCGCGTTTTCCTCAATTGTTGTCCCTGCTCAATACGAGCAGAGTCCAGAAATGCATACATGATTTTTGATTCTCAGAATAGATAGGTGAGAAGATTTGAAGCATCGAAGGAGTTGCTTAGAGCCTCCTGGCTGCTGAACTGCTGAGATCTGGTGGGCAGTGACAGCAACCACTGATCAGCTGCCTCTCTCTAGCTGGCATACCAAAAATTTGTGTTGGGGTGGGTAAGAAAAGAAATGCTAGCAATTCTGAGATTTTTCAAATGAATTCCTCTTTTCCTTGGATATTTCAAGGGGATCCCTGTGCCCTTCTACAACCCTTAATCCTTCCTTGACAGGCTGCAAGAGGAGTACCCCTGAGACGGGCATAACCAGTGATTTAGAGCAGAAGATGGCAGCTAGCAGTGTTTGGTGGAGTCGTGCTGGTGGTGTTGACACGTGTCATCACTGAATGCAGAATGCTTGTCAGAGGACTGATTCAAACCATAATGTCTCTGATGGTTACTGCTGAAGAGTAAATAGGAACCTTAGATTTATTTATTGCAGTTATAGAGTCTCCTAGGCACAGACTGGATTGTATAGAGCACCTGATGGCTCCATGTTACCCAACTCTTCTTGGTGCTTAAAATAGTCTGGCTCAGTTGCCGGAAAGCATGAGGAAAGGAAAGGGTGGGATCTACTAGATCTCATCACGGTGTTGCTGTTACCTCAGATCACGAACTATTAATTATATTAGAAATTACTAATGAAAAAATTGTTTCAGAGGGTGAAGGCTGAGGTTTAAGAAATAGAGTTCCTCTATTTCCACATATAAAATCACTCTTGGAGAAAACTTTTGCACTCTGTTTGTTTGGATTTGCTAGCTTTTTTGCATGTATTTACAAGTGCCAGTTGTACTGGGCAGAGAGTGATCTTGCACTGGGCCTTGCAGAGCCGTGAATCAAGTGCAGAAAAGCACATCTGTGCCAAATGTTAGAAGTGGGCTACTAATTAATTTGTTTCTCTGTTGATAGAAATGTCAGGCAAGAATAGTGTGGTTTTATTTGCTATTCTTAGGCAGAGGTAGCAAGCTCTATTGAATTAATCTGAAATTTGGACGAAAACCCGAGCCCTGTAGCAGCTTGGTAGCTGACAAACAATGCAAACAAAGAGCATAAAGGAAAAGGGAAGGCAAGAGAACAAATGAGACACTTTTTATTTTACAAAGGCAAGTATGAAAATACTGCCAGGTTACTTTTGCACTTGACCCAGTGAATGTGGACAAATACTTGGGTCCCAGAGTAGTAAAAAGGAATGCTATTTGCAGACCCTCACTGGGAGGAAACAGAAATAAGGGTTACTTTTTGATTTCTTCATGGACTGAAAAGCTATTAACACTATATTTAATGTAACAGTTTAACAGGTTACTGTAAACAAGGCTTTTGTAGCCACTAAAACCGAAAATCCATATAATTAAACTGATGAGAAATGGGAGAGTTACTGAAATTTTGCTTATCCTGGGTGGGCTGGAAGCATGACATGTGGAAGATGTTTTTAGTCGTGGAGCAGACGAAACTAGCATGAATAGGTACAGTGCTGTCACTCAGCAATTTTTTTGCACCCTGTGGTTTGAGCTATGTTTCCATAAGCAGGGTGCCTAAATAGGAGCTGGATGCCTGCCCGCCTGCCTATGAAGACACAGCTATTGCCTGTGAATGTCTGTGCTGGAGCTGTGCCTTGACCACAGCACAGCACAGCACAAAACTGTGATGTAATTCTGCAAGCCAGGCAGCTGCTTTACCTGCTTCTGCACTTGATGTGTATTTTTGGGTAAAATCCTGTGGATTTTTTTTTCCCCTAGATGTCCATTTCTCTGCAGACCTGAGATAAGTGTAATGACACTTAGGTTGGGGTTTAGCTCATCCGTTTCAGGTGTCTAGAACATTTACGGCACTTTGGGGTGCAGAGTGCAGGGCTGTAAAAGGGCCAGAAGAGGGAGAATTTTGGAGGGATGTGGGACAGAGATCTTCACATTTATACTCCTGTTTGTAAATCATTCATAAATATGTACAAAAGGAAACTGCTGACAGATGTGTGACCTCAAGCTTTCTGGAGCAGAAAGGAAGATTTATATATATATATATATATATTTCAAGAGAAATTTCTAATTGCTGATGCAGTCTGCAATCTTAAAAAGGTTCTACTTTTACAGTCTTTCCTGAGATATGTTCAGTTCATAAATTCTGGCAGGGAGAAGAAATGTTTTGGCTCTTGATCATGAGACATTTTAAAAAGGAAGGGATGAGGGGAGAGTGAAGAGGGAGGAGGCATGCTCCCTCTTGGTTTAAGTTGGCTTGTGAAGCTCCCTTTGATATTACACCATGAAGTGCCATCTGTCAGTGTAAAATGCGTGGGTGCTTTCATGATGTACAGAGAAGAGATACTTCCTGCAGATAGAAATACTTGGAGAAAAAAGGGGGAAAATAAAACTCTGTGAAAGAAACAACAAAATACCTATCCACATCCCTGCCCTGAAATCTGTGTCACTTCACCCTGGAAATGCAGGGGTTAAATGCAATCCCTTGTATTGCTGATTCTGAACTCCTGGTTTACTGATCTTGGGTTGTCTCTTACCTCTTTTATTTCTAATTCTTCACCAGAAGAGCCATCAGTCTAATTTTTTTGAGAAAGAAACAGTTGTCCAGAGTAGTTATCTGGCTCAGGTGGTCAGTTCTGCTTTATTACATCTTTATTTTGCATCTGCTGTTACTACTGAAATTTTGCCTGGACTCCATCTTTGACTTCAGATCATGCAAATCTTTTGGGAGGAAACAAAACTACTTATGCAGACTTATTCTTTAAAAATGCATGCTCTACACCAGCCTTCCTTTCCTAGACATCTGGGTTGGAAATAGAGGGTACGAAAGGAGAGAAGAGGAATTGATTCATACCTGGTGTTGGGTTTTTTTGCTTTGTTTTCCAGTAGTTGTATCTTGTAGCCTGTGGGAGAATGAGTTCTGCCTGGAATAGGTGATCTGGTAAATAAGGACAGGTGTGGGCTACAGAAATGCCCAGTGAATGCGTGGGCATCCGAGAAGTTCACCCACTCTTGATGTTTTGTGTACGAGTACCTCCCCTGCTCGCCCCAAGGACATGAATGACAGGTACAACATAAGGAGCAGAGGTGTGTCTTGGTTGGTCTTAATTTGAAGATGTCATCCTCACTTTTATCTCTGCCTTTTCCGGAGTGATGCTGTTGCATCTGTGATGGCTTAGGAGCACGAACAAGGCAAGGCTGGTGGTAGAAGCACAGTGACTTCTGTTAAACAAAACAGCTTATTCAGTAGCTGTGACCAAAAGCTTGTTTACAGGTCCATGTAAGACTGCTTTTCCCCAACCATATTATTAGGTCTGATAAAAAGTACTTCTTTCCCACACAAGCCTTGCTGGTCGTCTTCTAAGACCTCTTTAAAAGGTGAGGGGTTTCCCTAGCTCGTCTCACATTGAACCTTCCAGATGTAGAGGTTTGCTGTCAGTTTCTGTCCACCTGCCCTGATGGACAGCTGCTCTATTTAAAGACCATTTAGCTATTGTGGATGAGCTTTTTATTTCTTCTTGTCTGAATGAAATGCTTAAATGCATCCTGGCAGGTGTTGGATCTCCACAGTCCATGCACCTTGTCCCAGGGGAAGGGGGGAGGCTGACTCTGCCCCCTCTGGAGACCTACGTGGGTGATGTGAGCATGATTTCCCACAGGAAAACAAGGGAGTGGGGGGACATGGTTTTCCGTACATCACTGATTTCCAAAAGGATTAAGTATGGAACCTTTTATTTCTTTCTGTATTGAATGTGGGTATATATGGCTGGCAGCAAACTCCATATTTTGTCAGATGTTTTGAGGTGTTTATGATCTGTCATCCTCAAATCCCAGCTCTGCAGAGTTGAGTATTTCTGAGATGTATGATAGAAAGATGTGCAAAATCAACACAATACTGGACACCTAACCTGCTTTACAACCGTGATGCTGGCAGTACCCATCATGTGGTTCATCCCAGATATCAAAGTTGATGCTACTTTTTCCCCAAGAATGAATGTGAGGGATTGACATTAATTGAGCATTGGCAAATTCCAGCCGCTTCGTTATTCTGTACCTTCTAGCATCTTTAAATTGCAGTTTTCTTGCCATGCTACAAAGGCAGCGAACCAGCTTCTGTGCAGTCCTTGGAGCCTACATTTTAATTTGAGACACTTCCACACTAACACCAGCCTTGTCTGATGTATTTCACTAGGGAACTTCGTTGCATCAACCTGGCTTTTGAAGAGTTCTTCAAGATAAGAGGCTGCAGCTTGTTTTCAGGATTCAGGAGAGAGCCTCCTATGAATTTGATACAAATAATTTTTGGTTTATTTTTTTTTTCCTTTCCTCAAAAGCGGGTGCCTTATTTGTATGTAAAACAGTTGAAGAGTATGGGAGTTGAGCATATTATTTTATGTCAAGTCAGAAGAGCCTTTGGAAACCTTTCTTTCTCATAGTTCAAAGTTCTGTAGCAACTTCTTTGTTTAATAACAAGTGATGTGTGCAGGTGAGCATAACATGGCCTGTGGTTGTGGCAGGAGTAGCTCCTGGTTGATGCTGATGCAGTTCAGGTTTGGCCTGTGGCTGTTTCACGCTTTCATTTAGGCATCACAAAGGACAACAGGACAGTTTTCCTGAGAGGAGCAGCACTCAGAGCAAGGCAAAGTTGACTGTTGTCTTTTCCCTGTTCGGTTCAGCCTGAGGGCTAGGATGCTTTCAAAAAATAAGAGATTTGTGGGGAAGGTTATTTAAAATCAAGATTATCTTGAGTATTCTTTCATTCTGGATCTGAGAGCTCAGTTCTGGTGGTGGGAGCCAGTTGGAGCAAATTTGCCTGAAGTTGTGGAGCAGTTGGTTTCACAGCTGAGACATTTGGAAGTGCAGTACTGGCGAAAATTAGGTCCTGCCATTTTTAGTATGGATACCTTCATAGCTGCAAGAGAGGGAGCCTGAAAAGTGCCTGCTTTCTCCTCATTGCCTGACCAATGGAGAGGTGTCACCACTTTTATTTCTTTAAGCAAATTGGTTATCTGAATCTTGACTGCTAGTGCATTAAACAAAACATATTTTCTGACTTACGCCTCTGACAGCTCAAATTTGCAAAATCAAAGTACCCTGGAGAGAATTACTGGCGAAGCATGACTATGGGATACCAGCAGAGCAGTTAATGGAGGGACGTTTAGTTTTCCTCTTGCTTTTGTAGACTTCTGATTGCTGCAGAGTATCACATTTGTTCATAAAGCTTTGATGAAATGGTTGCTTGAGAAGTTTTCTAGGTTGTGTGCAGGGCAGCAGCTGAACTTCATTTCGGTCCTCCCGTCTCTGAGGTTGGCTTTCAGCTCTTTCCATGTGGTGGGACTGCAGCCAGAGGCTGAGCAGCGTCAGGGCTCCCTGCTGGGAAACCACGGGCTCCTGTGAGAGAAGCAGGAGGGAACAGAAACAACGCTGTTAAACATAACTGAGTGACTTCTGCTAGCACTGCTCCGTTACTGAATATTTGACTGGGTTAAAAAATGGATGGTCCCAAAATTTAAGGCTCTTCTGAACTTCCTTCAGGATATCATGCATGAAGCTGCAGCACCTCTGTCGTAATTAACACAGTGTTTGCAAACTTGTCATTGCTGCTCCTTTCAGGAAAGACTTTTCAGTAGGTTCACTGAAAGTAATTTTTCTATACCCTCACTTTCCTGACATGAACTGATTGGAGAGATTATGAGGATGCTGATAATTAAAATGATAAGAAAGGGATCATTTTGTCTTGCCACTTAACCCGTTTTCTCCCTTCTTGAAGGTCATGGAGGCGGAACAGACCAAGACAAGAAGTGAGCTGGTTCACAAGGAGACTGCAGCCAAATACAATGCTGCCATGGGGAGGATGAAACAACTGGAGAAGAAGCTGAAAAGAGCCATCAATAAATCAAAGTATGTTTTATGTTTGGAGATTAATTTATTGGTGCAAGTTGTTTGTGGAGAAATACCTATTCTGTGGGGTTTTTCAAACTTGTGGAAGTGTGTTGCCTTTTGTACCTCTCCGTTTGAGCTTGGCTCTGCATATGCCAGCCTCACAATTGGTTCTGAAATATCTGTCTTTGCATTAACAAACATCTTTTTAAAGCACCTGACTTGATAGACGGGTGAACTAAATGGGATCGGAAACCTTTTGGGGCATATTCTTTGCCTTGTCCTAGTGCGTTGAACCCTTTAGTGACGTGTGGCTTGAGAAACGGGCTGCTGGGATTCACACAGGTGCTGCCTGCAGAGCCCTGCGCGTGGATGCTTTGCAGCTTAGGATTGCTTAAAGTTTGGTTTCTATTTTTAGTTAGGAGAGCAACAAAAGCAAGTGACAGGAACCTGAAAGGTGCGAGACGGCATCGGCGTAGTGCTGTACAGCAGAGTTGTTTACTTCCCAGTGCTGCCAAGGCAAAGCTGCGCAAGAGCTGTTCGTGGGGAAGGAAGCGCACTTCAGAGAGCATGGCCAAGCAGCAAGTGTCGTTCATAATGGTGTCTGTACTTCATGTGCAGTTTTGCTCTGTTGCAAAGAGATGAAACTGCTTTTTACTCAGGACCTGTTTGAAATTTTGGCCCTGCTTACAACCGATTCTTAATCCTCTATGTTCCGCAGTCTTTTTCTCTCTATTTCCAGACTGTAGCTTGTCTAAACAATCTGCTTGCCGTATTTAGCTTTTAATCCCGCCATCTAAAAATGACTTTTTGGTGAAACCAGTCAGCTAAAAATCTATTTTGATTGGTGTTTGCTCAATTCAAGAAAGGATTAGCACTTCTCAATGAAGATCCAAGCACATTTGCTGAAACAGTGTAGCAGCATGGCTTCATAGTGTGCTGCATGCTGTTTGTCTAGCACTGCACAGGGACTGTGAAAAACATCATCCGATCACTAAATGACAGATTCCTCTGGGCAGGAGCAGTAGCTGACAAGTGGTTTGGCTGCTAGGATTATTCCTTACAATAAGATTTAAAGTAAAGACCCTGATAAGTTGTCAGTGGGGAGGTCCTGCATACTTTTTAATAATGACAATGGTACTGAGCCTGATGCTCCAGCCACCTCTCGTGTGATTTGACTCAGATTCTGAGTCTTCATTTCCTTGCTGAAACCACCCTTGTTGGGAGTGTTGTCATTCTCCTCAGGACAAGCTGGGTGTCACTTGTGTGGAAGGATCTCAGCATACTCCTTTGCAGTCAGCCCTGCTGTAAGACAACATAAACCACCCAGACAGGGTGTTTTGGAGATCCTTTAATAAGGGGTGTGCAGAAACGCCAGTTCTAACCTAGTATTAAAGTGGAAGACGCCTGATGGCACAAATGGGTTTATTGTTGATGTATTTGAAGTCGTACTCCATAGGGATGTTGGAAAGGTCAGTAGTTTCTCAGCACTGCAATTTTCACATAAAGGAAAATAGAAATGAGCTGAAAACGTCAGTGCTGTCAGATGGCTCCGTAAATCTGGGAAATGAGGCTGCTGAATTTGTGGCTGCTTTTCAGGAAGGATTTTTAACCGCTCTGCCCTTCTCCTTGGGTGGTGTGGGAGGGTTGGCTGTAACACCTAGGCCTTTCAGGTCCATGCTGTCCATCCTCTGTCTCCATAAACTCATGGGTAGTCATGCTGGGTGAGTTTCTCTTTTCCATCCAAAAAATAATTTGTATTTGCTCTTCACTTCAGTCTGGATTAAGATGTGTAAAGCCTGACTATTTGAAAGCAAGACTAGGTCAGCCTGAAGGAAAGTCACTCAAGTGATTTTCCACGTTGATGAGTGGATGATTATTGGATTGTTTTGGTTTGGTTTGGTTTTGCTTTTAATTTTGTTTCTGGGTGCTTACTTGCTTGTCAGCTATGAATGTGCATATGGCTGCATGTTCTTAGCAGGCACCAGATCTTCTGGCTCAGTGCCTCTGATAAAGCCTCTCTGTAGGATAACGAACTCGCCTGTGTTAGCTGGTTTTTGGAAGTCACTTTCTGCTCCGGTGGCTGGGGTGAAGTGCCTTTCACTCGTCCTGCCATCTACTTAAAAAGCTCTTTTCTTGCCTATGCAATGTCATGGACTTGGACAACAGGATGCAGGACACTGATTGCATCAGTGAAGAATTCGCCAGCCCTGCTGTGTCATGAACCAGGTTTCAATAGGTGCAGGGTCGCAGATGTAAGAGGATGCAGTGACCTGAGGAGATGTGAGGCCTTGCTGTGCCAGCGCGTTGCTTCTGCTGGCATCAGGTGCCCGGCTCTATGTTAGCTGTGAGTGAGGAAGATGCTTACATTTGAGCTCCTACACATCAGGCTGGTGGTATCCCTTTCCTGGCTTAGCTGGCATCTTTCTTGTCTGGTACCGCTAAACATGCCTACTCATACATACATGTAGATGTATTTGTGTATACAATCTCCTCAGGATGGTAGGGGGGGTTGATTAAAAACATAGAAGCTGCAAAATAACAGTGTCAGGGAAATGCAACTTGGTTATTTTGTGCGTGGCTGTGTAGTGAATTCAACCCTTCAAAGCATGTAAGATCAGAAAGGCACAGTTTTACAACCCTGGTTTCTGGTGCATAGTCCAAAATGAAAGCTGCAGTGGGACTTGCAGCTCAGAAGAGCTTGCTGTCAGGGCAGAAATACGACAAGGGTAGTTAACATTCTAGTTCATATAAAACCATAGCTGACTGCTTATTTCTCCCATACTTTCCAGGAGAGCTTCTGAGGGGTAAGGAGGGTTGTGAGCCCTGCTGAAAAATCAGGAGGGTTTTTTGCTCTATCAGTTGATTTTGGCTTGTGGGCTTCGAAACTTTGAGGCTGGAATGTGGTTTCTAGGCTTTGTACTGTACCCTTTGGGCCCCTGTCCTCCTGCAATCTTATAAGCAAGTTTTGCTGGGGGAGTCTAAGATTCGCCTTCTATGGGGAATTTGCGTGTACTGTGGGCTCTACAGTGAGGTGAATGCAGAGAGGATGCCTACACCTGAAGCAGGACGTTGTGTCTAAATATCTTGCAGAATCTAGGCCTGAAGGAATTACACTGTCAACTCCAAAAACTGGAGTTTTGCAATTTGTATTTAGGTCAAAAGCCCCATGAGAAAGAGATGTATTGGAGGGGAAAAGAGAGACATTGAGAGCACATGTAGGTGTTCTATCATCTAGATAGTGGTCTTTCGGGATTACAATGAAACACAAAATTGCTGTGTTAATGTTACGAAGAGCAGCTCCCAGGCCAGGGCTCCTCACTCAGTCCCAGTGATTGTAAACAATTGTTCTTTGTTTTTCCACAGACCTTATTTTGAACTCAAGGCAAAATACTACGTCCAACTGGAGGTACGTATCTGATTCAGATCCATTTGAAACGCTTTACTGCTTACAGTAAACACTGAAATTGCACCTAAAGTGCTCTGACAACTGTCTTGCACTTCTGTACAAAACCAAGTCAATTCAAAACCTCTTGAGCAATTTGCTAAGCACATTTTAAAGATAAGAGAGGCTTTGTTTCCTTGTGTGAAATAAGTGTTTGAACCCTGCTGCTTAATGCCAGAACCAAACAAACACAGTTTGGCTGCCTTTTTACTTCTTGCAGTTTGAAGTCTCTGGGGTTCAAATGCAGTAATTGCTCTCTATTTGAGTGACTCCTGCTGCATGTGGCCCCAAAAAACTGGGAGCCTGGCTCCTCTGAGTGGAAGGGTAGGGTCTGGTGCTGCAGTGTGTGGGATGCGCACAGGGTCAAAGAGGAGCACGTTGCCTTGCTCTGTTGGCCAGAGGTGCAGGAAGGCTCCAGTGGGGCACTAGGTCAGCAGGAGCTTAACTAAAAGAAGATTCCCATTCCTTGCCTGCAATGCAAGGTATGTCCCACACCTTTTTTTGGGGGAAGCCTTTCTCTGAGCTGCCTAAGATGCAGCAGCTCTTTGTAAGCCTCAGAGACTTTGGCACACACATTTTCCTTGCCAGGATTCAGGCTTGGGCTTCCCTCTGCTCCTCTCTTGCCTGCGTAGCTGTGGCCAGCAGCTGCTGCTTCACAGAGTGAACCCTCGCCTGTCCTGGGCTGGCTGCCAGCCCAATAATCCCTTCTGCCCTAAGGCATCTTTTGAGAAATCCCCTTTTCTCCATGGGGTAAGGCCCACTGTTTGAGGGCCTGTTGCTTCTCTGTGGCAGCTGCTCAATGCCTTCCCGAAGAAGGGTGATTGTGTAAAATAGAATACAAAGGACAGCACAGATTGCTTTTAATGTGCAATATAAACCAGAGTTGAGACCGCTACAGATATATACAAGCAGTATTTTACCATTTGGAGACAGGCTGTGTAACACTTTGCAACTCTACAGCAATGTAGAGTGTGGTTTGTGCCTGGGGACACAGAAACTGCTGCATTACAGGGTTTGAGACTTGCTGCGTTCTGGTTTGCAGGTTTAGTGACCAAGAGCTGGTGGGTTTGGTGCTCAGAGGAGAGTGAGGCCCTGGCTCCCATGGTTTGCCATGGTGCTGCCTCCTTTGCAAATCCCACTGCTTGTGCTGGGGTGCTCTTGAATTACCACCTCTCCCACCACCTAGATACCAACCCTGTATCTGTGCCAAGTCATCTGGACACGTAGCGGAGAACTGCATACTGTGAATAGTCTATAATGAAAGCACATCTAATGCCCCTTTTCTTTGTTAGCAACTGAAGAAAACGGTGGACGACCTGCAGGCAAAACTGGCCCTGGCAAAGGGAGAGTACAAGACTGCCTTGAAAAACCTGGAGATGATCTCGGATGAGATTCACGAGAGGAGAAGGTCCACTGCGATGGGGCCCCGAGGATGTGGTGTGGGTGCCGAGGGGAGCAATACCTCTGTGGAAGATCTGTCAGCCAGTAAAGCGGAATCGGACACCGTCTCCAGTGAGTACAGAGTGCTCCGGTGCCTGGGGATATCCCATGGGCTTTGTAAGAGATGTTGGGATGAAGGTTGCTCTGTGTGTTCTGCAGTTTGAAATTTGCTGGCTGTTGTGGGACTGCGGCTGACTTGTCACACTCCTCGTTATTAGAGGAGTTGGCTGTATTCTTTAATAGCCAGTTTTCAAAGGAAAGGGATAGGAGTTGAAGTGCATCAGCTGCTCCCTTAGCATCACTGTTGTTTTTAGTACAGTGCTGTATGACAGGAACAAAATTAATGCACTTCAAAGCACATTTCTTATTTTTAAGCCAGCGATGCCAGTGTCAGTGACTTGCCTGGGGTGGCTGCTGGCTGGTGGAGGTCATTCAGTCAGGTCGCTGGGGTGACAGTGCTGTTTGGAAACACCTTTAGGGTCAAGCACTCATCTTGCAGTGCTGGGCCTGTGGTGAAGGGACTGAAGTTGCAGCTCCAGCAGGACAGAAAGGCATGACGCTGGCGCAGAAGGGGTGCAAGGATACGCTCCGTGGCACTGTAGGATCTCTTGCCAATGTGTGATTCCAGCAGATCGCGTGTGCTGCGAACAAGGGAAGCAAAGCAGCGAAATGCTGATGCAGTGCACTGAGGCTCTGTATGAGACGCCTTTGTTTCTCTGGGGTGACAGCAGCAACCACAGAGCAGGCTCCAAGCTTCGGTCACCTCTGCTTTCTGGTGGCACACGGGGAGCTTGGACTGCAAAGACCAGAAGGGTCTGTTGTGTTGTGAGTTTGCTTCTGTCCTGGCTCTGGGTAAAAGTGGATTTGATGGACATTGCATGTGGCCCACTTTTTCCTACCTCCTGGACACTTTCACCCCTTCTTGGTGCAGAAATTCTCTCTTTGCTGCCCAGTCCTGCAAATCCCAGTTTAATTTGTATTTCAGCTCCATTTCTGCAGGGAAAAGTCTGGGTCAGGGTTGCAGTTCATCATTGCACAACCCCGGTGCCCTGAGCATGCAGTTCCCTCATAGACACTGCTGCGTCTTGCGCTGATTGAGTTCAGGGGCCTGGTATGTAGGGACAGAAAGAGTAAGGAAAGTTAATTCAGAGCAACCACTTGCTGGCCCTTGTGGCCACTGCTGAGGCTGCAGGCAAAGACAGGCTCATTCCTGTCCAAATTGCACAGCCTGCCCTGGGTGGAAGGACTCCAGGTGGTGTCCAGTGCCAGCGCAGATCTGGTTTACAACGGGACAGGACTTGCAGCCTGCCAGGCATAACCACTAAAATAGCCTCGACAGGTTAAGCTCTCACATATTATAACACG